CTCCCTTTGAACAGGAAGAAACCTCCAGCAGGACCAGGCTCAGTGTGAGCGGCCATCTGCTGAGGCTGACTGGGGTTCAAGGAGACAGAAGCAGACATAGAAAAAGAAGCAGAGATACAAAAGACATCTTAGATTTAGTCTTATTCTTATTTTTAGTCGCATTTTAGTCATTATTATATGTGATAATTTCAGTCAGTTTTAGTCGACTAAAACTCAGAGGTTTTTGCCTAGTTTTAATCAGTTTTATGTTTTAATTTATAAAAAAGTTAACCTTTACAATTTCGAATAACAACCAGATTCTTTACCAGACTGACAGCTCTAGCCTAGATACTACAGTAGCTGGAGATACAATGCTGCCATGCAGTAACTCATTGCTGATGGGAAGCTGATTTCTAAAATTTAAATTAACTTTTTTATGAATGAATCCACTCATTTATAAAAATAAAAAAAAAAGAGTCTCACAGAAGTCGTGAAAATAGCAGATCTAGTTCAATACATCATATTGGTTAATATAGCAGACAAGGTTTTAGACATACAAGGTTTCCATCAAAGCAAATACTGATCTGCTATGAATTATGCATTACACACAGATCAATAACATCTTCATTGCTCCAAAAAAAAGCCAAGAATAAAAACATTCTTCTTTCTATTTTACCAATTTTGGTTTTATTTCTAACAATTTACGCCTTGATTCCTGCTTCTCAGGGGTCAAAGTAGATTTAAATTCAAAGGGGTCTGATATAAATAACCGCACAGAAAACCTTCATAATTTTCTTATAATGCCATGGCAATCTGGACCTAAATATAAAAAATATGTGAACAAAATTGTTAAAATATTCAAATAGATAGAAACAAGAAGAAGATATTCAAAGTTCTGTGTACCTTTTCATCTGGGTCTTTATCTTAAAATGAACAGTATGCAATGAAATATTTTCTTTGGATATAATTTAAGGATTAGTTTTGGTACAAATGAAAGAAGGTTTTGCATCACATCTTGTTAGCTGGAGGAAATAAAATCCTGATAAGCGAAACGATTTCCGCTCTTGGCAGAGGATGATCAGCCACAGTTTGTTTTAGATTTATAAGCAACAGTTCAAAACTTGTTAGCATGGTTTATTATGCGGGTCAATTTGTTAGCTTGTCTTACACATCAGTAGACACATAAAATGATCTTCAAAAAAAAAAAAAAATCAAACATTAAAAAGACTAAAAGTTTAGCTGAAAATTCTTTCCGTAACTTTACCAAACCTCTGCTGATCTCCTTTCGTTAATGACTGCATCGTCTCCATTGTTTAGCAACCTAGCATGTCAGGCCTGCAGCAGAGATGCTAACCCGTTTGTTCCGGAATGCTAAACTATTTAATTCTCTGGCACCCTAAAGTTCCCTATAAACTCAGAAAGAAATGTTGCAGAAGGGTGTTTTTTTTTAAATTAGCCACCATGTCCTCTTAAACTTGATCAGCATGCATATTCTGGTTCTTGGCTTGTGGCATTCCATTAAGGAATCTTCCCAATGTGATCCTTCCATCAGGATAGACTTATCAGAGAAAGACACAAAGTTGGTGAGTTGATTACTTTGTGTGCAGTCTTGGGGGGAGGGAGAACAGCTGAAATTGGAGGGCAAGAGCAGAGCAACACTGTATCCTCCTACACCAATATACACTGTTAATATCAGCATAGACATTAGTGTCTAAAATTTCAATCAGTCATTTCATATCAGACAGCATACTATATATATAAAACAGTAAACTGGTTATCATAGGGGCTCCGTCAAGGAAAGAAATAGTTAAACAGACCCGCCTTGAGCTATGTCTAGTAGAGAAACAGGTCTAGGCACTGAAAAAAAAAGGCCCAAAGCTAACATCTGTAATTGAAGTTGTTAAAAGCAAGAGCCCACTTAATAAATCTCTACAGCATGTTGTAACAACCAAACAGAACCAGGCTAGATAACGCTACAATGATAAGAGAAAGCGGCGGAAAGTAAAATAAGCAG